TGCCCGTGGTCCAGTTGAAAGTGCAGGTGGAAGTGGGAGGTGAGTAGCTTGAATAAAGCGATATCAATTCATTAAATCCTGAATCGACTTTTAAACATAACTGTGTTTTGCCAGAAACGCCAGATTCTCAGATTAAAGCTCACAAAACTAGTGATGGGCAGATGAAGCCCCATGAAGCACTGAAGCTTTTCATCCAATTGGTTCACCCCAACGCGAAGCTTCATGAAGCTTCATTTGCTCTAGCAGGACACCTACTGGACGTAAAAATAATAGCTGGCATGAATTTGAAGAGTGTGGCATTTTGCACACAGCCTGTAAATGTCAACAACAAAAGGAGTGTGTAAAACATGTATATTGTAGTAATAGCAGTACACTGTGTATATTTATAGTGGCAGTATGGAAAATGATTATTTGGAAATGCTTGAAATGGAAATGATCATTTACTGTGAGGTGAGGTGTGGTTGGGGTGTGGACAGTAGTTGTGCTTTTGTAACGTTGAGGTATGGACAGCTACACACTGAGGCTTTGAGGTTCAGTCCTGCCTGTTCACATTTTATTCTGTAAAAACTAAATTTTCACTGCTTTTATAACCTTTAGTGGGGAGAACATAGCTAGGATTTAATGATTTCACAAATCTTTGAATCCTTTGTCCTCCACAATGCTAAATGGCTGGGAGTCCTCAATCACCATGCTGACCAGGTCTTCATCTATTTGAGATTGTTCTCCTGAGGAAAGACAATAAAGACAAAGCACAAATATAAATATCAAACACGTAACTTATTACAGTTGTATAATATTGTTATATCATTTAGTAACATTACTGCATCCTATATTATCATGGCATTTGATGGCTCACCTGGTCTTGCTCCACAATCGGTGTTCCCTTATTCTCATGCAAAGCTCTGCAGTGCCTAAGCATGGATGAGGTGTTGTTGCTATATCCCAGCTCCCTGGCACATAGCAAACACTTCACCTTGTACAAAAGTACAGACAGCTTAACATAGGTTTTATTGCACCATCAGTATCATGACAATACATCTTCTTTAGAAATTTACATACCTTGTTGGGAGGAATAAGATCAAAATGTTCCCACACAGGGGAGGACATCCTCCTCTTCTTAGCTGGCTCCATTCTCTCCTGACTTTCTCTCCTCACTCTCATAAACCTCCAAACTCTCTCCAACTCTCACTAACCGCAACTCTCCATCAAACACCCACATTTTGATTGAAGTCTGAGGGGTTTATATCGCTGTCATATCTCGCGGCAAAGTTCGAACCACTTCATGAACCAGTCACGTGGTACAGCCGGGCAGCGAGGCTTCGGACGTCATCATTTTCAGCTCCTCCCATAAATGAAGCAAGCCTCGATACGCGCTTCGCGGAAACGCCCCCTCCAGTACTCGACACACGCTCCGAAGCCTCGATACAGAACGTCCCATCACTACACAAAACCATTTCAACAACAACCAAACAGCAAATGAGAGCAGGTACACGGACTCCACACAAAGACGTAAACACAGAGCGGACCCGACGCATCAGAATTAACTTTGTCTTTCTCGGCTTTCTCACCCGACGGCCCGCAGACGGACACGCTGTCGGAGCTTAGCGAATCTGATGCTTCCGGTCCGCGCTGTGTTTACGTCTTTTTGCGCTGATTCTGAGCTGCAGGTTTTGTCTCTCTCCAACCAAAATTCACCGAGCTGAATTTTGCTGTTTTGCTTCCACGACTATTAAAATCACACTCCATGCACAGCTAGCTCTCTCTCTAGCTCTCTCTGTACTTCAAGAACAGTTTCCCGTCTCCAATCTCTGTTTTCTGTATTATTCATTCGCTTATTACCCACCAGTCTACCGTTGTTTACAGCGCTGTGGCTGCTGTCTTTTCTTTTCTTTTTTTCACTTAAATGACCTCGGACAAGAAAGCCTATTTTTCTGTTGTTCAATACTGAAGAAATTTAAACTTTATATGCAGAACATTGTAGAATATTTTAAGGTTATCTGCTATAAAAAGCCAGACCAGGAAAATCTCCTTCATGTTTTTCTGTGTTTTATTCTCAGTTACTTTCACACAAAGGCATCTGCTGTGATGTTCACAATTCTGATGAAGTCAGTACTGATAAATGATCAGAATTATAATATTTCTGACTGTCTGAGGCTAAGTTGAATCGAATCGGGACTTTGAAAACCGGAAATCGAATGGATTATAGTAATCAGTGATGATACCCAGCCCTAGTGAGCAGTCTAGGCACGACAGAAGTGGATGTAGCTGTAATAGGAAAAGAACTATTGCTAACTTTTCTGTTAAGTTAAGGCCTGATCCTTCTGAAATTCATAGCCAGTGCTCTGACACGGTGTCATCAATCTTTGAATGCTGAAAAACCACAGTGTATCCAGAAAAACACATTATATTATATAAATTATTATAAAATTTGTGTGCGCCTAACTTTTGTGCCGGTACGCCTAACTTTTTTAAGTTAGGCGTACCGGTACGCCCATGGCAAAAAGTTAGTCTAGAGCCCTATAGAGGACTGATGACAGAGATGATTCAGAGGAATTTCTTTTTTTCTGTCCAGAGAGCTGCAGAGTGAAGTTCACGGGAAATAGCTGAGTGAGTAGAAATCTGACTCATTAGAGTTTTTAAGAGTTCCTTTTCATCACAAAGCAAAGTTTCATTTATGTGGAGAACAGATGAAGACTCATTTGGATAAAGACTCAAAACCAAAAAGCTGATCCAGTATAACTCTATATTACATCTCAGTAATAATACTATATAAAAAAAAATAGTGGGGTAATAAGGTGAACACAAAAATGTAATCAAATGTACACATCAACACACACTGACCATTCGGCAGTCCAGCTTATTTGCTTTTTATTAATAATATAATTTCTCTGAAAACAAATTAGTTTAACATCGCTTTAACATATGGGGCTGGTCTTGTACAGTTACATGAACTTTGGTGTCATTTAAAAAGTGCCTGTTCCCTATTATCACTTTATCTTTTCCATTTTATTACCCCACTGTAGTTACTCCTTCACAACCACAGTTACATTGTTCATTCCCAGTTTAGTGTCGTCTGGGCAGCAACATTAATTCCTGGAGCAGTTTTTTCCCCTCGTGAAATATTGTGGAGGTCAGCTGTGTGGCGGGCAGGAGTTGGACCCAAAAATAAGAAATACATTGAAAAGCAGCTTTATTGCTTCACTTTTACCAAAGCACAACATAATATCAGATCAGAAACCAAAACTAACTGGGAGACACAGCTATGAGGTAGAACATGGAAAGGACGAGGGAACAAACTGAAGAGAGAGCAGCTGAAACTAACTACAGGTGGTGAGAGAGGGGAAGTAGAGCTAAATACAAAGCACAAAAACTGTAGACCACCAAAATAAAACACGACAAAACAAAATAAAAACGCAGAGTTGATACAACAGGAAGGTAAACAAACACAGAACTGACTTGACAAGAGGGTACAGGGAACAAAGGGGAGGTATGATATCAGGAACAAGAGACACAAAAAGCAAACTAAACCAACTTTGGGGAAAAAACTAAGAAGACTTGAGAATAGAAATACTAAACAAAGTTGAAATTAAACAGGATATTTGGAGTAGAAGACTAGACACAAAAGAATTGAAAGTATAATTCAAATCAAATCCTGGAACACCTCACGTCTCAAACTCAGAATATTAAATAAGAATTAAAAAGTCCAAACATAGAAAACACATTTGTCAAAAACCCAGAATAATGACAAATATGTTTTATCTTCTATTTTAAAATGGAAGCCATCAGCAGCAAATATTGAAATAAAAGCATTAAAACTATTTAAAACCCAGTGTTGGAGTTCTGATACTGACACTATTAAGCTGTCAGTATTAAGTACAGTATTAAGTACAGTGGAACCCCGACTTAAGAAATTAATTCGTTCCCGAGGGTCTTTCGTAATTCGAAAATTTTTGTAAGTCGAAGCACCCATCGCGCCTTTTGAGTGAACGATAGTCTATAGGCTATTTGCTAACTGCAACAACAATACGTAGTTCAAGTGGAACAGCGAAGCCAAGTACAAAAGCCAAGGGGGTTGTCGCATGATTCGGAAGGCATTGTGGGCTCAGCCAATCAGAGCCAGCAGATTTCGTTACGCGGGCATTTTGCCGTAATATGGGCAGAAATATTGCCGTAACTTGAATTTTTCATTAAATGGGGTATTCGTAAGTCAGGGTTCCACTGTATAAAGTCAAAGTTCCATACTTTTTCATCTACTGTTAACTTAAATATTTCAGTCTGACACTGACTGACAGTCAGACACGAGTGTTAGGATATATGTTGTCAAATTGGGGTGGCTGTGGCTCAGGAGGTACAGCAGCTCATTGAAAAATTGGAAGGGTGGTGGTTTGATTCTTGGCTGCTCCAGTCTGCATGCCAAGGTGTCCTTGGGAAAGATACATATGTGTTTTCATGGAAAGTTGTCATTGATGTGTTCTGTTCATTAAAAAAGCCAAGAACAGTTCAAAGCTTATTAACCAAATCCAAAGACTGTCTACATCATTCCTGCAGCTTGTCATCCATCTTAAATTGCCTTGGGTGTTTATTGTTGATTAATTCTATTAAAAAATGATTTAAATAAACTTTAATTTAAATGCATAAGACCCAGTTTCATGGTCTGACTGCATTCAGCTGACACTGAGCTGAAGCAGAAAAGAAGCAGCTGATGGAAATGAGGATTTCAGTTGATGTGCACATGAATGATTTGTGTTTCCTCTGCAGGTGAAGGTAGAAAGTGTGTGTGAGCTGATGTGGATGTGAATTCAGCAACATGGATCAGTGTGAGGACAGAGAGGAGGGAGTCCCTCCCTCTAAAACCACTCTGTGTGGGGAACATGAGAGCCAGACCAAAGCTCAGAGGTGAGATGACCATCTCTAACTGTCCAGGACTCTAATCCATGTCACAGCTCAGCACTCACATCACTGCTTCATCATTATTCACAGGAAAAGACGTAAATGTAAACATGGGAAAAAACATAAAAATGGACAAGGACCTGAACCCAGCTGTGTTTCCTTACAAAGTGATGTGTCAAAGGAATTTAATCCTGATTTTAAAGAAAATCCTTCTTCTACAGAAAGGTAATCTGTCTCGAAATGTTGCAACTCAGTTATTCTAAACAAATTTTCCAACATATTTGATGTCAGCTCATCTTTTTTTCACACACAGTTCTATGTTCGTATGTGAAGCTGTGTGGGTTTGTGTTTTTTTTTTTTTAAATTTGAAAAATGAATTTTTCTAGGATGTTGCTGTAGTGAAGATGCTAAGTGTCATTTCGACAAACAGTATTAACACATCTGACCTAAAATCCCACAAAAAAAAAATGCACAAACGTGCAGCCAATGCCTCAGGTGCTTTTTGTACAACTATTTAAAATCTGATGTCATGTTTTTTGTTTGTTTTTGTTTGTTGTTTTTTTGGGGGGGGCTGGGGGTTGCTGGCAAGCACTTTCAACTTGTGAGCAGTTTTCTTCAAAAAACATGTTTTTACTGTTTCTTCCTGCACTAGCAAACACTGCAGTATTCAGGAAAATTTAGTATAACTCTGGTTTTACTTGGCCTATTAACACAGGTTTAAAATTGTAGTAGACTCCTGAAGGTTGAACTGAAGCTCAGCACTCCCATCACTGCTCCATGATTATTCACAGAAAGAAATCTAGAAGAAGACAAAAACGTAAACAGAAAATTAAACCTGAACTCAGCAGTGTATCAATAAAGCAGCAGGTTTGTGAAATGTAATGGATAATGTGTCTCTAAACAAGACTATGTTCATCTCCGTTAAAATGATTCTGTGTTTGATATATAGAAAATGTACTTATAATGTAATCATGTTTTTGTTTCGCTTTTTCCATCAGGAGCTTTGAAAGATTAGACTGTCCTGTACCTAGCTGTGTATCCTTGAGCGGTGAAAAGTCAAAGGAGTTATATGGTGTTAATTTCAACACAGAGCAACAGTCTGCCTCAGAGAGGTAATGTGTACCTAAAATTTGGAACTGAGTTGGAACAGTTTTTTTCTGTTATGTGAACTAATTTTTCCATGATTCCTCCACAGAGTGGACCAGGAGAGTTTAGAAGTTCTCAGTGATCAGTCTTCCCAGCAGCAAGAAAGGAATCTGGACTCAATATTTATGGTTTGTACATGTACAAGAAGTACTTTTGTATCTGTTCTGTTCACAGACATCGCCATTCTGCAGTTGGAAGAGCAGTATATCATGCTGGTTAACATTTTTTCAAAGGATAAAATAGAGTAATTTTCATATTTTGTATTCAGCACATTTCATTTAATTAAAAAAATATTAAAAAGTAGTATGTTTGCCACAATTATTTGATTGATTGTTTTATTTTATTTTGTGCCATTTACTGGCTGATGGAAAGTTTGCACTGTCCACTTTTTTTTTTTTTGTTATTTTGACGACTCCCAACTGAATGCACTATGCAGAAGTAATGACTGCTATTATAATCTGGAGGCTCCTAGTTTTCTTGTTAATTGGAAGGTCAGGTCCAGGGTCAAAGTACAGGCTTTTAATTTGATCGCATTTCATGCTTGTTACAACTCCATATGACACAAACACAAATTAATCAAAATTAGAACTGATTACGATGAGCAAACATCCTAAAATTAGCACGTACATCCAATTTTTGACAAAGTAAAATGTAGGGAAAAAAGTTAGTTGGGTAAAAATAAGAGTGCTTTTTTTTTTTTAGTTATTTCTGGTTTTTGTTTTCAACATGACCGAGTAGCAAATCAGCAACTCTACAGCAAGGCAAAAAAAACATGGACAAAGCACTTTTTTAAAATTCTCTTCCAGCTCCTAGAGGACAACATTTTCAGCTTTGTGAAGAATGAGATCAAGAAAACCAAGAAGATTCTCAGCCCAGATTACTCAGATGGCTTAGAGAGTCAGGGGGAGGATGAGGTGGTTTTGGAAAGTGAGGATGAAGAAGAGCAGAAGAGGAGCATGAGAGATGCAGTTGTGAAGATCATTCTGCACTTCCTGAGGAATATGAAGCATGGAGAACTGGCAGACCGTCTGCAGAACAGTAAGAGGATTTCTCTAAAGATTTAAAACAGTGGTTAAATGATATGAAATTTATAGATTTACATTTCCTTAATTCTCAGCCTGAAAGGTTTTGTGAAGTTCATGATCCTGAAGAATATATTTTTTGTGTGTTCTTTGAGAATTTCCCACCCTGTGCCCACATAAACTTAAATCTACACTGAAGAAGAAGCTCTGCAATGTTTTTGAGGGAATTCCTAAAGCAGGAAACCCAACCCCTCTGAATCAGATCTACACAGAGCTCCATATCACAGAGGGAGGGACAGCAGATGTCAATAATGAACATGAGGTCAGACAAATAGCAACCAGGAAACCAGACAGACCAGAAAAAATAATCAGACAAGAAGAACTCTTTAAAATCTCACCTGGAAGAAATAAACCAATCAGAACAGTGCTGACAGAGGGAGTGGCTGGCATTGGGAAAACACTGTTGACACAGAAGTTCACTCTAGACTGGGCTGAAGACAAAGCCAACCAAGACATTCAGTTCATATTTCCATTCAGTTTCAGAGAGCTGAATGTGCTGAAAGAGAAAAGGTTCAGCTTGGTAGAACTCGTTCATCACTTCTTTACTGAAACCAAAGAAGCAGGAATCTGCAGCTTTGAAGATGTCCGGGTTGTTTTCATCTTTGATGGTCTGGATGAGTGTCGACTTCCTCTGGACTTCCACAACACTGAGATCATAACTGACCCTACACTATCCACCTCAGTGGATATGATACTGACAAACCTCATCAAGGGCAACCTGCTCCCATCTGCTCACCTCTGGATAACCACACGACCTGCAGCAGCAAATCAGATCCCTCCTAGCTGTGTTGACATGGTGACAGAGGTGATAGGATTCACTGATCAACAGAAGGAGGAGTATTTCATGAACAGATTTAGAGATATGAAGTTGACTAGCAAAATAATCTCCCATATCAAGACATCACGAAGCCTCCACATCATGTGCCACATTCCAGTCTTCTGCTGGATCACTGCTACAGTTCTGGAGGATGTGCTGAAAACCAGAGAGAGAGGACAGCTGCCCAAGAACCTGACTGAGATGTACATCCACTTTCTGGTGGTTCAGGTCAAAGTAAAAAAGGTCAAGTATGATCGAGGAGCTGAGACAGATCCACACTGGAGTCCAGAGAGCAGGAAGATGATTGAGTCTCTGGGCAAACTGGCTTTTGACCAACTGCAGAAAGGAAACCTGATTTTCTATGAATCAGACCTGACAGAGAGCAACATTGATATAAAAGCTGCCTCAGTGTACTCAGGAGTGTTCACACAGATCTTTAGAGAGGAGAGAGGACTGTACCAGGACAAAGTGTACTGCTTTGTTCATCTAAGTGTTCAGGAGTTTCTCGCTGCTCTTCATGTCCATCTGACCTTCGTCAACTCCGGAGTTAATCTGCTCAAAGAACAAGAAACAGCTTATCAGAACTCTGAAACAAGAAAATCTGCAGAGACTCATTTGTACAAGAGTGCTGTGGATAAGGCGTTGCAGACTTTAAATGGACACCTAGACCTCTTTCTTCGTTTCCTCTTGGGTTTTTCACTACAGACAAATCAGAATCTCCTACGAGGCCTACTTACACAGACAGGGAGTTGCTCACAGACCAATCAGGAAACAGTCCAGCATATCAAGAAGAAGCTCAGTAAGAATTTGTCTGCAGAGAAAAGCATCAATCTGTTCCACTGTTTAAATGAACTGAATGATCATTCTCTAGTTGAGGAGATCCAACAGTCCCTGAGATCAGGAAGTCTCTCCACTGATAAACTGTCTCCTGCTCAGTGGTCAGCTCTTGTCTTCATCTTACTGTCATCAGAAAAAGATCTGGATGTGTTTGACCTGAAGAAATACTCTGATTCAGAGGAAGCTCTTTTGAAGCTGCTGCCAGTAGTTAAAGCTTCCAGTAAAGCTCTGTAAGTTATAGTAAGTTTTATTCTTGAAAAATTCTGCTATCGCTTTAACAGAGAATAAAAATATCATACTTTGCTATTGTCCCATCAGATTGAGCAGCTGTAACCTCTCAGAGAGAAGCTGTGAAGCTCTCTCCTCGGTTTGCAGTTTCCAGTCTTCTAATCTGAGAGAGCTGGACCTGAGTAACAATGATTTGAAAGACTTGGGAGTGAAAATATTGTCTTCCGGACTGGGAAGTCTACATTTGACACTGGAAACGCTCAGGTCAGATTTCTACAAATCATTTAAAATCTGGTTTGTATTTGTAACCATGTTACACTGTAAACTGTAATTAGTTGACCTTACCAAATATATATATTCAAACCTTAAAAAAAGGAAAGCAAAGCAAAACCCCAAACCCTGCAAACAAACAAGTGGAAATTTAGTAGGTTTTAGTAAGAATGGATTTTATTGTGTAGTTCACTCACACCTAAGTTTAAATTGTACATATTTATGTCATATGCACACTTAAATTAGTAAAGACTACTCAGAAGTATTATTATTATTAATAATAATAATAAAAATAATTATTAATAATACAACTAATGTTAAAGTTCTTGCAACATATGATTTTTTAGTTGCTTTCATTTGAACAAGAGTCTCATTTATGCATTCAAATCATACAAACTGATTACCTCATTAAAGCAAGTGTTACTCTTGTTATTCAAATGCTTCTGGACTCCACAGATAAGTGAAAAACAGATTCCATTCTCCTACAATAGTTACATATATAGTTACATTAAAAAAACAGAGGACAAAATACAGTTCAAAGTACAGTTGTATTCACATTTTCCATTCCTCATTTCTAAAAAAGTCACACTATTCATCTGAAAATAAAATTAGCATCAGTGGAGGTTTTAGTAGAAAAATATTCAGGAGGCCCAAATTTCAGAAAACAGGTTTATTCTGCACAAGTTGCCATTGCTTACATATTAGAAGTGACAAAGCATTTTTTATGTGTGATGATTTAGAACCATATCTGCAGATATATATTTAGTTACATTCAGACTCTAAAAACTTTGAGTTCTCAAACTTTGCAGATTTAGTAGAAGTCTCTTAGTTTCTGTTCCAAGCCATGCATCAGCCTTTGAATGAATTTAAATGCATTTCATTGCTTTAGGCTACACCATGTGTAAATCATTAACAGTTGAAATAAGAGGTAAAGTAATTGATGAAGTTTCTGAAGGCAGTCCATTAAAATACCTCTTTCAGAAATGACATTAGTAGACTCTGAATCAAGACGGAGGGGATTTGGAAGGAGAGCAATAGTTTCCTCATTGACAGCGCCCCCAACAAACCCCATTAGTGCCAGAAGCCTGTTTGGAAGTAAGCAAAAGCAACAGATGATCAGTTATTAGCAACTTCACAGAAACCATATTAATACTATCCATCCTCTTCCATTAATTTGAGAGGTGGGGTACACCCTGAACAGGTAATCAGTCTGACAGACAACCATTCACAGTCACAGCTATGGGCGTTTTAGAATCACAAGTTATCCTAATCTCACTGTGGGAATACCTGAAGAGAAAATGCAAACTCCCAGGCCAGATGGTGGAGTGAAACTCAGGATACTCTTACTGTGAGGCAAAAGTGCTAACTACCACACCACTGTGCTTCCCTGTTTATACATTTTTTTTAAAATCACCTTGAAATTCTTCTTTTTTTTTTAAAAGGGGTGTTTAAAAATAATTAAAGACTAAGGTAAATGTTATGATTTCATACTGTTGACCTTTTCCCTTTTTATCCAGTAACTGAGATAGACTAAAACATCCATTGCTCAAGATGAATGGAGTCAGCTGTGATATGGCGCTTGCTCATTGGGAAAGATCCTCCCCAGCATTTCTCTCTGATTAGAAGTTAGTCTGCAGCCACTGTGCACCTTGTCCTAAACTCGCATATATACAATTAGCATTAATCTCTATTAAACTCTAAATAAGCCACATGCAAATCCAAAACAAATTCGCCAGAACTCCATGTGATCAATAAGATCCCACTTTAATTAAAACATGTTCTAGTTGTCCAAGGAAAACTGGTGACAATTCTGGTCTGTCCCCTACTTTATACTTTATTAATCAGCCTCACCCCTTTTTTTTTTTTTTTATTTATTTTTTATTTTTATTTTTATTTTTTATTTTGGAGACAACTTAATCTTTGCATTAATTGTACAATTTTTCTCTAAGAGCATGCATCTGTTATGTATGATCTCTACAGGCTGTCTGGCTGTCTGATTACACAAGTAGGTTGTACTTCTCTGGCCTCAAGTCTGAGCTCTAGCTGCTCCTATCTGAAAGAGCTGGACCTGAGCTACAATCATCCAGGAGGGGCAGTCAAGCTGCTGCAGAATCTGGAACTGAAAACTCTCAGGTATGGAGAGACTTGTGCAGCCATGGAGTATGAAGGGGTATTAGGGCTAGATCAAGTAAACAAATGGTATTGATCATTCTGATAATAAAGTCGATATTTCAAGATTAAAATCAAAACACTATTTTGAGAAAAAAGTCAAAATCTAGACATTACAGTTGTTCTTTCAAGACAAACTGCCACGTTTGCTATACCCTCTGCAAAACTCCTTGTGCTAGTGGAAAAAGTAAGTTAATTAAATAAATGTATCAGCCTGATCTTCTGATACAACATGCACCCTCTTTATTGCACGAGGGTGTAACTATTGGTATCCTTGCATGTCTCTATTGCCAACCATTTCATTTTGTTCAAATCTGACCAACTCTTCCAAGTTTTAGTGGGGATTTTTTCTTCTGAGACTCAGCTTTCTGCACCATCTTTTTAGTGTACTTGTACTTATTACCACACTGTGTTTATGTGCTAAAATAGAAATAATTTCCTTATAACTACAACCAATTCTGAAGTACAATGTCACTTGCTGGTTGAGAAACTGGTTGTAAAATCTAACCTGGTTGTGAGTGTAGGGGAAATGTGGGGAAGGGTGTCAGGACTTTCACTGGAGGCTAAGGTACAAAGTGGAAAAAGAGGGAACAAGTTGCGTAGGGGGCGTGAGCATTAACTGCAGTGTCTAATCCGTTGAAGAACAAATTAGACTCAATGACTTTGTCCTCCAACGCTGTTGGATGGCCTCAATCTAGTGATTCATGCCACACCATACCTCACTCATGCTGTTCTGCTCGGCCTGACTCCAGGCCTGATGGAGGAATTGAACTCAGGAACTTCTCGCTGTGAGGCAACAATGCTAACCACTGGGACAATGGAGTCAATGCAGAAGGTTATGTAGTCAGTGATACACTCAGTAAGCCCATTGGTGTCCTCACCATGAGGTTCACAGAGTGTCTCCCACTCTGTCACCTCAAAACAGCCACTAAGGCCTCCTTTGACCACCTCCTAATACTCCTAATGGTCACAGGCTTCCTCTTCACAATAGGCACATAGCATAGGCTGAGCTAACTCAGGTTCAGGACCCAGTGGGGGGAACAGAGGAAGATAGTTGAAGTCACCGAAAGATATAAAGGCACTTGGGTGCTGAGTCTGTAACCGGACTATGGCAGAGCGAATAATGTCACATGCAGCTGTGGGGTTAGCAGAGGGAGGAACATAGACAGCCACCAAGACAACAAGAGTAAATTCACTGGGCAAAGAACAATGTGTGTCAATCCCAAAAGGTTAATTCTGTTGGAGCTGAGACAGAAGAAGCCACTTGGATGGGTGTCAAAACGTTTCTCCCACTGAAAACGCTACGTCCAAATGAACAGAATCAACCCTTTGGGAGATGCTTTCCTGGATGATTGAGCATTCACCAAGACAATAAATAGAAAGAGTGTCATGGGAGGGAGGCAGGAATGGTGGACCCAAAGTGCAGACTCCAGGATGTGAAAAAGTGCACTCAAACAGTTTTATTGCTGGACATCAAAATAACTAAACTGAACTTAAAAATAAACTATGCAGGCTGGCTGACAGACAAAACACACAGTGCAGAATGAGGAACAACACAATGACGTAGGTTAAGACGTAGACACTAAATACAAGAGGTGAATAGGACCAAGAGGAAACAGCTGGGAGACACGGCTGACACCGATTACATAGATGAGCTGGAGGAGCACGTAAAACTGAAAACACTGACATAAGACACAGACCTTCAAAGTAAAACAGGAAACTCAACACACATGCAGAGACACAGACTCAGAACTGACCAAACAGGAACAGAGGGAGTACAGAACCAAAACCTATCTAGAAAATCTTTAACAGAAGACTTAAACAGAATAAACAAGAACATAAGATAATATTAACAAAAACACTGAGTCATCAGACTCAGGACCATGACAAAGAGCATGTTCACAAGTGTAAGGACAGGGGTGCAGAAGAATAACAAAAGGATTGGTGCTGCGGCTGCAGTGATCTGGACTCTGTACCGGTCCATCATGGTGAAGAGAGGGCTGAGCATTAAAGCAAAGCTCTGGATTTACCGGTCAGTCTATGTCCCTACCCTCAAATACCATCACGAGCTGTGGGTAGTGACCCAAAGAATGAGATCACAGATACGGGCAGTGGAAATAAGCTTTCTTTGAAGGGTGGCTTGCCTCTCCCTTAGAGATAGAGTGAGGACTTTTGCTATTCGGGAGGGACTCAGAGTAGAGCCATTAAGCCTCCTCATTGAAAGGAGCTCGTTGAGGTGGTTAGGGGATCTGACAAGGATTCCTCCTGGGTGAGGTGTTCTGGCCATGTCACACCAGTAGGAGAAAAATGTGGACTGTTGCTGTAGGAGTTTCCTCTCTAGAGTGAAACATTTTGGTAGGAGACCTTTTGAATTAATTAGTGAATATGTTTTACAATGGAAGATGATAGGACAGGATTTTAGGGACATTTTCTTCAAGTGTATGTATTAAATGTATGTGTATGAGAGCGATGTAATGTCCATGTGTGCATGCTGAAAGAGACTGTGCTGGTCTGATCCCCCTCCTCCTTTCAGGGTGGAGCCTGCTGGAGTCCGATGGTTGACACCA